TCTACAATACACTTCAAATCAGGATGATTGGTCAACCCTGTGAAAATGCTCTCTACAATACAAGTGTGAACATATCGCGCCCCTCGTCTGAGCCATACTCATACTCTGTCATCTTCTGTTGAGTGAGTGTGTGAGTCATAAAACGCCATGTCAGCTTAATGTGGGAGGGAATCTCAAAGTGATCCGTGTGTCAGACTTTTACCATTTGGCTTAAACCATGAACACGGATATAGTGCTGACGAACCTAAAAACATACTCGGGGCGAACCGGTATTCCACCTCAGACTTGCTGAAATGAAGCTTCTGATCTCATATGTGAAAAGGGGTCGCTTGTCACTGCTTCTGATACCAGTTGTCAAGTTCCATGACAACTGTAGTCTGGCTGTTTTGCCGATAGTCAACTATAGGAACACCAACGCGGGCAGAGCCACAGAGGTATCCTGGCTGTATCATCAGTGATGACTGTTTCTGTGGTTATGGCTGCTTGTGGTGTGTCTCGGCTACAGTTTTGAACCTGTTTTCCAATTATTGTTGACGATCTTGTGTTGGCACCATGTGGCCGACCATTGGCGTTGTGTGTCCAGGCAGTAAGATGTGAGTGAGTGAGTGAGTGAGTATGGTTTTACGCCGCTTTTAGCAATATTCCAGCAATATCACGGCGGGGGACACCAGAAATGGGCTTCACACATTGTACCCATGTCGGGAATCGAACCCGGGTCTTCTGCGTGACGAGCGAACGCTTTAACCACTAGGCTACCCGACCGCCCCCAGTAAGATGTAGTTCCACTGACTTTCAAGGCAACCATCTATGAGTGAGTGAGTGAGTGAGTTTGGTTTAACGCCGCTTTTAACAGTATTCCAGTTATATCACGGCGTGTCAGCTTGATGTGGGAGGAAAGCCCGAAGTGATGCAGGTCTCAGACGTTTACCACTTCGGTGAAACCCACGAGCACGGGTATGGTGCTGACAAACCTAGAAACATAATTGGGGCGAACCGGGATTCGAACCCACAATCATAGGTTTCTGGCGTGCCCAAGGGACGCAACTCTGCACAGCGAATCGCGGCGCCTTAGACGACTGGGCCACCCGTGCCCCCCTACAGTTTTGAACCTGTTTTCCAAATATTGTTGACGATCTTGTGTTGGTATGGTCACACCAGGACGTCCACCATGTGGCCGACCATTGGCGTTGTGTTTCCAGGCAGTAAGATGTGAGTGAGTGAGTGAGTATGGTTTTACGCCGCTTTTAGCAATATTCCAGCAATATCACGGCGGGGGACACCAGAAATGGGCTTCACACATTGTACCCATGTCGGGAATCGAACCCGGGTCTTCTGCGTGACGAGCGAACGCTTTAACCACTAGGCTACCCGACCGCCCCCAGTAAGATGTAGTTCCACTGACTTTCAAGGCAACCATCTATGCACTCTGGTCAACCTGTAAACGTTGTTCTCCCGGTAGTATTTGAATAGTTGTTTTACCAACATACTGACCGGCAGGGTTGCAATGTCGCTGCCGAAATGCAGGCAACGAAGTGGCCCATGGAGCGTTCGGTGGATCTGTTCTGAGCGCGCTGGCGCCGAACACTTTGACAAAATTTCTCGTTTTCGTCACCTTGACACCATATGTTGCCGTCAGCCACTTAAGGCATATTTAGATTACTCATTTGTGAAATTCGCTTTTTTTTCGGGTCATTGTAATATAAAAGTTGAATTGTTCCAGGGAAGCCCTCTACTTATCTGTATCAAAAGTAGAAAGAGAAATAGTATTTACACAATGTAAATTGATGTAAAATGCCTGTTGCTAATGAGTGAGTGAGTCGGGTTTTACGACGCTTTTAGGAATAATCTAGCAAAGTCACAACCGAAAAGCCAGGTATGGGCTTCGCACGTTGATCCCATGAGGGGAATCGAACACCGGATCTTCAGCGTGATGAGCAAATGCCTTAACCACTAGGCTACCCAACCGCCCCGCTATTGACCGTGAGGTAAGCACACGCTTCCCCTGAGCCAACATTCCAACATGATCAATAGGCATATATGTATGTAATAGGTAGAAGTTGTGAGTTGCTAGATACAAAACATGGGATTAAAACCTCAATTATATTTTTTATTGTATATGTCACCACGTTTCCAGTCTTATAATCACTTCCTCATTCATCTGATGCGGTACCACTTTTCTTTTCCTCAATCACCATACTGGGATATTATCTTTCCTCATTAACAAGATTCGGGTCCTACATTTCCTCAAAACGCTGATTGGGATGCTATTTCCTCATGATCACGATGCTATAATGACCTACATTGTTAAAATTAAGGAAGAGTAGAGGCGGATGGGTTTGAGTCACACTAGGAAGCATTATTGACCTTGGATTTACCTGATCCTTCAATAAAAAAACATACATTTATCATAGCACATGACGTTCAACTTTCGAATAGTCAACTTTCCCTTTGTGTGGGACAATATTCCAACAACTCCGGTCTTTGGTATCTACATTTAACAACTTTCGAGGTACAATCAAACATGTTCTTTCGAAGAGATTTTCAAAGAGCATCATACAACTCTTCCATAAAAGTTGTCTGATCGGAGCTACATGATTCAAGGCTTCAGCAGAGCTTTCAGAATGTTTTATGGTAGACGCGTGGAGGACATTTACAAATTGGACCATAATTATATCCATGCCATTCCGATGTTGACTGTGTAGCAGGGCAGTGAATGGTGTGATAGCCAAACACACGCTACGGGTGAGAGACGTTTATTTCGCCAATGGATCTGTCACATATTTATCTATCTAATATGTAGTATCTAGTATCTAGTATCTAGGATATCTGATTTTAGATGATTTCACCTGTCAACTTGTCTGTGCAGGAAATGTGTGCAGACTGAGAACATGCAGCGAGACAAAGGGTCAACTTTGAGGGTTAGCTTGGCCAATCAGTTGAGCACGTCATGGCTTGGGTTTGTTAAGGCTTACAACATGAAGGACACATTAAGTACATTTAATCTATCTTAACAAATGATAAAACATAAAAGTTGAACACTTAAAAGCAGATACTGAAGGTGAATAAAATAAATATGTACAATGTTGAATCTGTCACACTTGTACCACACGTTCCAGTGTTCATCAGCGGATTGACTTTGCATGTGTTTCTGATGGGTGGCACTGGTGGGGCAGGATACGTTCACATTTTCGCGAACACCTGGTGACATCACTATTTGATAAGGATCTATAAACACATGCTTACGATAAACTTAAATTTACAATCGACTTTTTATGATTATGGAAAGGGCTCTCTATATATATCCTTTTGACAACCATGCATTGTGTATTTAAATTCCTTCTAGAGTCAGTCAGAATAGCATGACACGTGACTAGTTCACTGCAAGGAAGAATCTTCTAGGCATCACAGGTTGATCCAGTACCATTTAACTTTCACCATTTTACCCAGACTGTTACAGGAGTGACATCTAATTAAGAGAGCGGGAGTGAGTTGGGTTTAACGCCGCTTTTAACAATATTCCAGTTATATCGCGGCGTGTCAGCTTAATGTGGGAGGAAAGCCCGAAGTGATGCAGGTCTCAAGACGTTTACCACTTCGGTGAAACCCACGAGCACGGGTATGGTGCTGACAAACCTAGAAACATAATCGGGGCGAACCGGGATTCGAACCCACAATTATAGGTTTCTGGCGTGTCCAAGGGACGCAACTCTGCACAGCGAATCGCGGCGCCTTAGACGACTGGGTCACCCGTGCCCCCTCTAATTAAGAGAGCGGGATATTTACTTCAGTAGTAACTATATCAGAATACATTCTCTGTAAAACATACTTGCATCATCAAGGTTAGACTTAATTGAAGAAGAAGAATAGTGATAGAAAATATTCGTTTTGGTACAACTTCTACCAATTTGTGCAAAAACATCGCCTTAGAGTGAGGGAGAAGGAAATTTTCCATATTTGACACACACAAAATACAAAAATGAATCAATGCATATAAACATTAATGTTGTTTAGATATAGAGAATGGACACAATAAGTAGTATTCCGGGTAAAATTTTGAGTCAGTGTGCAATTTTAAAGATATTACTGCTTGGGAACAAAAATATGTGCATATTTTGATTTTGACTCAGACAATCAGTTTGTATGCGCTGGCGTTTCCGTTTGTAATATCCTATCAATGTCATCTACAGCAAACATGTTTGTTACTCCAGTTGACAAGGTATGTTCCATCTTGGGAGCCTGACTCTCTCAGACTTTAGTTCAGCCAGCTTAGTCACCGGTGTCATAGTGCGGCGTCCATTGAGCACATTTACAAAACACCTTTTCTGTTAACTGATTCGCCAGAATGATAATCGTAACCTCGTATACATGCGAAGTGCAGTCAGTGAGGTCCCTGCGTGTGTACTTGAAGATTCTTACACACCCGTGGGTGAGAAACCCATTTGAGATAACTGGTATCAAACATATGTGTGAGATCGAATTCCAGGCCCGTGATTGGCTACTCCATGGTGATGACCTGAGGTCCAATTGAATTTGTCATCAGTACATTGTATTGCGGCGTCGGTGGATCGAAGCTTGCGTCTCGTGGATCTGAATTATTATTGTTATATTTGGCAAAGTCCTTTTGGAGAGTCGTTCGATTATTTTCGGTCATTCCCTTTTTAATACGACGACGACCTTAGAACCATCAATATGGTTTCACGGATGTTAAGTATCGAACCCGGTGAAGCATTCTCCATTCGGTTAATCCCCAAACTAGAAAATGATTTCTATCAAATTACCATCAAAGCCCTGAGGCAACCACGGTTAAGAATAAGGTGTTATCAATAAATAAAAGCGATATAACCCTGGCCATAGTCATAAGAACTCTCGGCCAAAAAGAGAGTCGATTGTACGATTCCGAATGTATCATGAGCATTAAGCAACGTTTGTTAATACCATAGGGGGTTTTATGAGAGAAAAACGTATTGAATTATTAATAACCATTTTCCATTCCTTTCTAGGTGGTGCGGATGCTGATTGTTGTTGTTTTCGTCTTCGCCACGCTGTGGATGCCATACAGGGTGATGGTGGTCTATAACTCGTTTGCCAGTAAGCAGTACATGGATCTGTGGTTCCTCCTATTTTGTCGAACCATGGTGTACATCAATAGTGCCATTAATCCAATCCTCTACAATGCCATGTCGGTCAAGTTCCGTCGTGCCTTCAAGAACCACTTGTGCTGTGGTAAGTTAATCTTTTTCTTTCTTTAGAATCTTTACCTCATAGATTTATAGAGTATAATACGTGGGTATAGAATTGTTGCCCTCACACAACATGTACGTTAGCCGCCACTTGGTGATAACTTGGTTCATATCTTATTGTCTTTTGTTTTACATGTGACTTTTAGAAGACTTTGTGTGGGAGGAATAATTTCTCGATTGTATAGAAGGACCTCCGTATTCCGGACCCTTTTAATCCAGAAATTGCATATTCCATTCCTCAATACGACTTGAAATTCAAGGGAGGATACAACTCTGCACAACGCCTTTGCGGCCAAGTGTCCGCTGAACTACAAATAATCCTTGGGTTTATAACACTTGAGTATATGAAGTCGTTGTATTATAGCAGTGATCTGACTCATAGTCGAATACCTGCGAGTGATAATATTTCAGACATACATTGAATGTCTTCGTGTGGAATGGTTTCAAAGAAATGAAAACGTTTCTTTGAAACATTAAATTATATCACTTAAAATATGTCATCCGTGTACATCTGTGTATGCCTCTATGTATTTATTGCTTTGTAATACTTATAAAAGTTATCATTAATACAAATAAATAGCATAAATATATTCTGTATTAAGTGTATAGTCACAGATATCATAGTGTAGACATCTCACGTGTTTAAGAACATTGAACTATTTTTTTAATTCAAATACACTTATTATCCATATACTTATTATCCATATACTTATTTCTGTAAACCGGTTATGTTTGCTTCATCTGATTGCCCGCTTATCATTGGGTAGGCGGAATAGTTGATTCTGTCACAGCTGCGCATAAAGCACATTGTAAAATTGTCTGTATATTTGCATCAATAAGTCATATTATTTATTGGTGATATTCAGGAGGCTTGATATTTTTTATTCATAAACGCCCATCCCTATGCATGCACCCTGACGTACGCACCTGCACAAATCCCCACTAGCACCATCACCCAAGGCACCGCTTTAGATCACGATTCTGCAGTAAATACCCTTTGTCTTTAACTCTAAATGGATGGTCTCTGATCTTTGCAAGGGTATTCAAGTGTGAGTGCTCATGTACAAGACTTGTCTTAATAATGGGTACATTTTAATTAGTTGTATTGGACAGTGAAACCACGCTGATCCGGCCTGCACCGTGTCCAATGACCTGAGGGATTAACAAGTGTCTGGATTAACGAATCATGAGTCCTGTGTAATGCCCTTTTGAACGTATGTTGCCGGCTTTATTCGTCCGGGTTTTACGGATTAAGTGGACTGGATTAGATGGTATGGATTAACGGACTGTAAACATTCCCGTATATTCCTTTCGTGTTAAATACATAGCTGCACTCGGCTCATTGTCAAATACGTTAAGAGTGTTATTTTAATCAATTAATTTACACTCCCAATAGACAAGTAAATGCACGTTTATCATTTTTATCGGGGTAAATTATATGGCTTGTTCAAAGTTTGAACAAACGCTTAAAGTTTGTAAAAGAAATGTAGACATTATTATTTATTTTTTTTTATTTTTTTTTTTTTTTATTTTTTTTTTTTTATTATATACAGATTAAAATACAAAATGCAGCAAAGAGGGTTTGGGTGATCCTGGCACAGTCAGGCTGGTTAGGCTCATCATCAGCTCAGGGCCCTTGCTCCCTCTACACGCAGCCCAGACGGCGAGTGGGACTTCTCCCAGGAAGCGTTGTCTAGTCTAGATTGTCAGAAGGACTGTATTCCTGGTAGCAAACCCGGGTACTCTCCCTTTATTATTATTATGTACAGATTAATTTTTTTTTAAATGCAGCAAAGAGTGTTTCGGTTATCCTGGCACGGTCAGTTAGATCATCATCAACTCAGGGCCCTTGCCCTCTCCACACGCAGCCCAGACAGTGAAGAATCCCAACACTGTAGCCTTCTGCATTACCCAGATTGTCAGAAGGGCTGTATTCCTGGTAGCAAACCCGGGTACTCTGTGTCAGTCAACAGATTGGGAGGTACCAAACCTAAGGCACCGAGATCAATGGGGAGTCGGACAACTTGGTATTTACGATGCAAGCATGACATTTCGAAAGCGAGGTCCGCATATTTACCATGTTTTTCCTGAATCTTGTCAATCATATTAGTGGCAAAAGGGACAGAAAATTCAATGATAAAACTTATTTCATTGGACAAGATCAGGTTTGTTGGCCTGCATAGGTCTTAGACTGTATACTGGCCTATTCAAAATACTTTTGTATTTGTCAAAGAGTATTTATCAGAGAAAGCTTTTTTTATCAAAGTTTGAAAAACTATGTGTCTGCACAGAACTATATTTCACATTATCTAACCTTAATGCTTTTTTCCAGAAGATATTAATGTACAAACACTCGCCATCACGTCTAGTCCTAAAGAGAGCGAACACAGAGGTTAATTATATTGCATTCAGGGTCAATCTTATTCAATCTGCCCAAATTGAGCCAATACTAAATATACTTAAAGGATTTCCCCTGAGACGACCTCGTGGTTATGAAAACATAACCAAAGCCCAACAATCGGCCTGGTTGAACGAGTAACGTTTCCTCAGTCGGACAGTTGTTTCTACTGACCCCAAGATGCTCTGCCGAGATGATGCATCTTCAGTACAGCATGAAACATCACCCGTTGGATGGCAACTGTGTAGACCAATCAACACAATAGATGTTTGATTATGGCGACAAAATTCAATTAAATGTCAATTTGCTTTTGATGAAGACGGTTTCCTGATTGCCCGCCTTAACCTTTAGTGGCATCAGCTGCCTAATATCCGCCATCCCGTTTAAACCTCAATAACAGCACTTCTGTTCGCATCTATCAAATAGGTAATTTGTTCAGGGCCACCGTATATTTCTGAATGATATTGATTCTTCTGATAACAAAAACCGAGAGTTAAGATGGGGATAGAAAGACACTTTTTTGCCATAATGAATGCTCTGCAACTACACCTGTGGCACTTGTGGCACTTGTGGCACTTGTGGCATCGATATTGTGGCATCGATATAAAGTCGTGAGATCGTCTGGTTTGTATACAGGCCGCCGCCGCATGGCGTTAGGCAAGAAATACTTATTTTTTGTGCAAATTGTTTTACCGGTAGGGCAGAACATGCTTTTCGCGAACACCTGGTGTCATCACTGGTTTTTCTGTGGTCTATTCATATAATTTTCACAGATACTTTGCCCTTCACGCCAAATGTAATCTGTTTCGTCGGAAAATCGAGACTTGTTAATCTCTAACGTTTCATATTAACGCTCCGTAATGGAGACGGCATGAGAATCTGTTAATTCCGGAATCAACAGGTCCTCCATAATGTTGCACTATGACCTGTAGTTGCGTTAGTTTTACTTGTTCAAAATACACAAATGGCCATTGACTTTCGGGCTCAGAATCAACTGCATGAACAATAAAGTGACGTCATCATGATGGTTAAATCTCAGTTACATCACGGCCTGTCAGCTAGTATTGGGACAGAGTATGGTGCAAGTCGTTACAAGTTTAGTGAAATCCGCTGCGAGTACCAGTATAGTGCTTGCAGACCAATTTGAGCAATTTTGGGACTCAAACTCGCGTCCAGCGGATCCTGACACTATAAATGAGTGAGTATGGTTTCACGCCGCCTTTAGCAATATTCCAGAAATATCACGGCGGGGGACACCAGAAATGGTCTTCACAGATTGTACGAACCCGGGCCTTCGGCGCGACGAGCGAATGATTTAACAACTAGCCTACCCCACCGCCCCTCTCACACGACAAGCAGGGAGGCAAAATAATTACTTTAAACAATTCGACATCCCATGCCCCCGTATCCATAAGCGGCAAAAAAAACATGCAAACCGCGGACTGGCATAAAATATCATGTCTCTTTGTTGACCTTCCACTGCAATATGTAACCCTGCACATAAATCCAGTCGAGAACTAGCCCTTCATTCCCTACTCTGATCGTGAATACAATATACATGTGTGCTGTCAGAAAGATGCATGATATGGTAACCTTTCCATCCAACTTGCCAAATTATGGACCACAAATGTATTTGTATACGTTTGTATGAATATGTGTCGAATGTAACAGTGAAGTATGTAATCCTTTGTACATGATCAATATGATCTGATCAGGACGGCGTAGGCTTCTCTGAACCTCTGACATTTACCAGCAAATCAGGACGTCTAGTGTTCAGTTATGAAGTTACAATTGCGAATTTTAAGTGTTACTATCTTTGGAGATATGAAAGGATTTGCAAATTGCATTTAATGACAATGAAACATCGCTTCGGTTTCCCCTTGGGAAATGAGTTCTTTGAGCTTAGACTTGTGTGATTAAACGGTGTCCCGTTGTGATATTTGAATTAAAGGGTACATGGAAGATGGAAGGGAATATGGAAGATGTAAGGACATATGAAAGATGGAAGGACATATGAAAGACGAAAGAGCACATGGAAGATGGAAGGACATACGAAATATGGAAGGGCATATGGAAGTTGAAAGACGATATGGAAGATGGAAGGGTATATGAAAGATGGAAGGGTATATGGAAGATGGAAGGGTATATGGAAGATGGAAGGGTATATGGAAGATGGAAGGGCAAATGGAAGAAGGAAGGGTATATGAAAGATGGAAGGGTATATGAAAGATGGAAGGGTGTATGAAAGGCGGAAGGGTATATGAAAGATGGAAGGGTATATGGAAGATGGAAGGGTATATCGAAGATGGAAGGGTATATGAAAGGCGGAAGGGTATATGAGAGATGGAAGGGTATATGGAAGATGGAAGGGCATGTGAAAGATGGAAAGGTATATGGAAGATGGAAGGGTATATGGAAGATGGAAAGGTATATGGAAGATAGAAGAGCAAGTGGAAGATGGAAGCTTCATAACGTTTGACTCATTTACAGAAAACCTGAAATTTAAAAAAAATAGGAGTGAGTGAGTGATTTTGATTAAATTACTGATGATGAAGTTATAAAGGAAAATCACAGGCGAAAATGAC